GCTAACCAGGGAATGGTCTCAGCTCACAGTGGGACTTCTGAATGAGACCACTTTTTTTCTAGATGTAGTTTTTTTATGCTGATTCCAAAACCGTCCTCAAAAAGCTGCCACCGAGGTCTGTGAAAAAGTTATGGACCCTCAAAAGTCGAAAAATTTCATAGTCTCCGATTGAGTTCATTTTTTTGAGGGTATATAGGTCTTGTCCCTACGGTCACGAAAAACCATCGAATTTTTCTCGAAAAAATTTTGAAGCCAAGATATGATCTTTCAAAGCCCCGCCGCACACAAGAGAATGCGCGCGCGGTGTCCTATTGCGGTCCGACGGCTGTCGAAGCAACCCATCATTACTTGACTTAATCTTCACTGACCGCCCCTGACTTATTTTTTTGATCTTTGTTCCAAAAAAATCCTCCTATCTACACCGACCATTTAGCCATTTCCTTCAAAAATCAATTGTTCCGCACGCAAAAAAACGGTAAACCTTTTCGCCTTGACTACCGTCGATGCAACTTTGCACGTCTCAACCTAAGTATGATCAATTACAATTGGGATAGACAGTTTTCATATTTTTCTAGCATCGACTCCAAATTTAATCATTTCAATAAAATTTTCAACGAGCTCATACGGGACAACTGCCCAGTTCTCAAACCACGCAATCATCGCGGTTCCAACTTTTTACGCAACTTCTCTTCCAAAATTCTCAAGCGTCTTAAACGCTTCAATCTGCGCACCTCCTTCGGTCGCGTAAATTTCAAAAATCAGTACCTCTAAATTTCGTCGTAAAACTCTACGTTGGTTCATTAATCATGAAAGAAAAAAATTGCCGCCGGCTCAAATGCCAGTATTTCCAAGTACATTAGTTCTAGGTTAAAACTTCATCATGATATTCCACCCCTTATCTCCAATGGCAGGTCTTTCATTTTACCATCCGAAAAAGCTAATTTATTTGTGGAAACTTTCTCCAAAAATCGTAATTTGCATAGTTATGATACACCCACCCTCTTTCCAAGTAGGAAACCTTTGACTGTTGAACCTGATTTCAGCCCTTACGCCATCTTCAAAGCCTTAGGCAAATGCCCATCAAAAATTGGCTTTTCGACTGACTTTATCAACTTTTTTGTTCTCAAGAATTGTCGTGATTCGTTAGCTATTCCGCTCTCACTCCTATTTAACGAATCTTATTGCACGGGCTCTATCCCCAAAACTTGGTCCACCTCTCATATAGTCCCTATCTTCAAAAAAGGCGATAAAAGCGATCCTAATAACTACCGACCTATCGGATTGACGTCTCACATTGCTCGTTTAATGGAAAAAATAATAGCTATCTCTATTAGATCTAAATTCAAAAACACTTTTTCTAATTCTCAATTCGGCTTTTTAAATCATCGTTCTTGTAAACTAGCTCTTCTCGATTGCATCACTCACTGGAAGAGATCCCTAGCTCTTGGTAATAACGTAGACGTAGTATATATCGATTTTCTCAAAGCCTTCGACATGCTTCCCCATAACCTTCTGCTCGCCAAGCTCCAAGATTTCGGTTTCGACCAAAAACTTATTAGCTGGTTCGCATCCTTCATATCCTATAGAAAATCATTTGTCATTAGTGAAGGTATCATATCTAGCTCAGCTTTTAACATTACATCTGGAGTTTTGCAAGGAACAGTCTGCGGCCCACTCTTATTCATAATATTCATTAATGACATTAGCAGCAACTTATCTGATAATGTAAAGGCTTATCTTTTTGCTGATGATCTTAAAATTTTTTCTGACGATCCCATAGCGCTTCAGCAAGGTCTCAACAACGTTTTCCAATGGTCTAGTCAATGGGGTCTTCCCCTGGCCGAACACAAAACCACCCTTCTCCATCTAGGCCGTAGCAACCCTCATGTTCAGTATACTATAAATAATATAACTATCTCTTCCGCTGAAGCTGTTCGCGATCTAGGCATTCTTATTGATAACAAACTAACATTTGAGCCTCACCTTCGTAAAGTTATAGCCTTATGCAAACTAAAAAAAGTAAACAAATCATCAGAGCGTTCAGCGCCCTGTCTCCCGCTCTAATGAGCCGGATTTTTCTTACGTACGTTGCTCCCTATATGGACTACTGTTGTGAGTTGTTCAGTCCCCCTAGCTTCAGAACTATCTTACACCCTCGAAAAACATCTTCCGTCAATTTACTCGCCAAACATTCATGAGATCAAACATTAGGTTTTCTAGTTATGAAGACAGGTTAGCTCAGATTAACACAAACTCTTTTTTTAGAAGACGAGTCGAATTCTGTCTAAGAACACTACATAAAAATTTATATTAAGGAGAGTCATTTGCCAGTTTCTCACAGTGTTTTCAGGAGATCAAATTCGGTACGTGCTCCATCACGTCTTATCAGAGTAGGGATTCGTTTCGAAAATTTCTTTGAGACGTTCATCCCTCTTTGGAATAAACTGGCTACATTGGGAAACCTCAATGTTTCTCCAGAACGTTTCAGGTCTTTGTTACTATCCCTCGATAATAATTTCCTTTTCGGAACTATTCCCACCAGTCTCCGTTGAACCAGGTACCCGTGCTTCAGCCCTACTCTCATCCATCTTATGCGCGTCTATATCATCACAAACAATTAAATTCCCCATTCACCTGTGCTACACTGTGTCATAACTTATAATGCTTTCTTTTCTAATTACTCCCCTTGTGCAATCCTCACCTCTTATTCTTTTAATTACTGGCTCAGAGGCTCGTGAGGGCCTCAAGTGCCTTTTATTTATTTATTTCAGGCTTAATGCCAAATTTTTCTTTTTTTTTTTTCTGTACATGTTATTTTTTCCTGCCTGTAAATAAATAATATTATATAAAAAGCAATGGCAGCGAGGAGCAGTGGAAAGGCGGCGGACTGGGGAGCACGAGGTCATAGGTTCGGTCCCCACGCTGTGCAAACTTTTTTTGCATTTTTTTTCTTTTTTGGATATTTCTCTGTTAGTGCTCCTTTTTTGAGTTTTGAGGTGTAGAAACATGAAAATACTGCGTTTTGAACCTATTTAAACAGCTGGACTTCTTTTTGTCGCAAATTTTTTTTGTAGATTTTTTCGTGATTTTCCATGTGTATGAGCATGGGCTGGAGTGTCGAAATTTTTCAGAAATATTTTTTTGCTTTTTTTATCTTTCCAAAAATTGTCTAACCCCAAGTCATCACAGCTTAGCTTATCGAACACAGAAAAAAAAATTTTTTTTTTTCTTTAATTTTTTCTTCGTACTTTGCAGTGGGCTCACCTATGACCGTCGCCTTTTGCCGTCTGACTATGAACTTTCAGAAATTACATTGAACGAAAAATTTTTGTGGGGAGTTTGTTCTGTTTTATTTATGAATCAGAAAAACCTTCTCGGAAATTTCAGCCTCAACCTGAAATAAAATGGAAAGTTTTTTTCTTCTCGTAGAGTGGTAAGTGAAAACCGCAGTCTGAGAAAGTCAGTGAAAAAGTTTATGCGTTTTCTACCAGCGCAGTTATGATAACTTGGGTCTAGACAGCTTTTGAGAAAGAAACAAAACCAAAAAAAATTTTCTGAAAATTTCGACACTCCAACCTATGCTCATATACATGGAAAATCACGAAAAAATTCATGTGAAAAATTTGCGACAAAAAGAAGTCCAGCTGTTTAAATAGGTTCAAACTGCAAAAAAAGTTTGCACAGCGTGGGGACCGAACCTATGACCTCGTGCTCCCCAGTCCGCCGCCTTTCCACTGCTCCTCGCTGCCATTGCTTCGACAGCCGTCGGACCGCAATAGGACACCGCGCGCGCATTCTCTTGTGTGCGGCGGGGCTTTGAAAGATCATATCTTGGCTTCAAAATTTTTTCGAGAAAAATTCGATGGTTTTTCGTGACCGTAGGGACAAGACCTATATACCCTCCAAAAATGAACTCAATCGGAGACTATGAAATTTTCGACTTTTGAGGGTCCATAACTTTTTTCACAGACCTCGGTGGCAGCTTTTGAGAACGGATTTGGAATCAGCATAAAAAACTACATCTAGAAAAAGTGGTCTCATTCAGAAGTCCCACTGTGAGCTGAGACCATTCCCTGGTAAGCTCATAGAAAAAGGCCCTAAAAAATTCAGCCCAGAAAGAGAAGCTTGAAATTTCGAACGCAGACCCTGTGAGTCTTGAAAATGAGCTCCATGGACAATATTTCGCGAAAATAATTCATAGATCCAGTGAGGATGCCTCTGGAGTCTTCCACGCCTTCCACGCGATTCTGAGGTTACTGATGAGCCCTTAAGTGATTTCCACGCTTCTTTAATTTATACTTGAAGTACCCAGAATCGTTACACAAGCAGCAGAACTTTATAAGAAAAGTTAAATATTTCACGATTTTCTTGTGATATTTTTTGACTTTTCTTTCATTCACTCTTCTGTATTACTACCCGTAAAAATGTGAAAAAAACTATTAAAAAATTCATAAAAACCGAAAAAAATGAAAACATTTTTTGCTACTTTATCCGTGGAGCGCATTTTCTCTAAAATGATCGGCTCGCTGAGCTTTCAGGTCTCTTTTCTCGGAAAAATCTTCTCAAAAGACACTACTGAATCTTCATGACCGGTCTTTCTAGTCTCCCTATAGTTTTTGAAGAATCTACTTTGTGCTGTTTGAGAAGGAAGCCCATGAGGAGGCAGAGGCCGCCGTCGTGGACGATCCAGTAGACGTCGATGACGCCGTTCATTCTGAAGACGTGCGACGGGAAGTCAATGATGCCCTTCGCGACGACGATCGCCATGTCGTTGACGCACGCCGCGTGGACTTTTTCTGAGGGAAAAAAAAAATATTTCTCGATGTGAATAGCATCGAAATTCAAAAAGATTCCTTTCTGCATGGTTAAGAAAAAGTGTCTTTTTTTCTTTTACGCTCTACAGTTCCCGTTGTATTTTAATGTATTCATGACCTCGTTGGTGAGAGAAAAGAGAGTGCAGGCAAGTCAGACTTCTCAAATCTCAGCAAACTTATTTAGGAATCAAACTCTTCAAAAAAAGTAGTTTTTTTATATCATTTTCAAATAGTTTCTACTTTGTTTATTTAATCAATAAAGTTTAAAAAAATCAAATAAAAAATAATAATGATGAAAGGAGTTGGAAAAACCATTAGCTTTTTTTAAGGATCGAGGCTTTTTCTACGGCTCGCGAAAACCCAGCGGGGACCGAACTCGCGACCTCCTTTTTAGAATTTTTCAAACTTAAAAATGAAAGACGAACTGTGTCTTTTCTCACTGCTCGAAAAAATTTCTACGACGCGGCGCTGGGGATCGAACTCGCGACCCTCTGACAAGGACTTTTCAAAGCTAATAATGAAGATGAACCGAGACTTTATGACCTGCTCGCAAAAAATTCTACGTCGTGATCGAACTCGTGACCCTCTCTTCCAGAGCTTCCAAACTAACCAATGAAGGTGTTGTACTCGGTCATGTCCTCCTCGCGGTCGTGAACCGGCCAGGAGATGAGCATCGTGTTCGGCTTCAGCCCTCCCAGGCCAACCGATTGAACCAGTGTCGACATGGATCCGAAGATCTGTTAGATATTTGTTGAACAAAAATGAGCCAAAAATCCCGGATTTTCTCAAACTTTCAGAGTTTTTCCTTTGAACCTCATAAATTTTGATTGAACTATAGCTAATTCACAGCTAGCTTAGGGCGCTAAGGGGCGTGTCCTGTCTGCGCTCTCCACGAGCCAGGCGCTATCTCGTGCATTATCGTGTCAGGACCATTTTTTGATGGCTCAAGCCAGCCGTGAATCCGCTATGGTAATTTTTTCAGTGTTCACAAAATCCACATTCTAATCCTTGTCTGAAACTATTGAGAGGAAAGAAATTTTCTTTAATTTAACAAGCTGGAGGTCTCTTTTTAGGCTACTAAATTCAGAACAGACCATTTTTCTCGTTTCCTCACTAAATTTGGTAGATAACCCTTCTTCTCAAAACTTTATCCCTGGTCAAGAAATTTTCTTGAACTTCACACATTTTTTCCAGTCTTCGGTATGCTTCGAAATCCATTTACGAGGGTATTGGACCCTTCTGAGAACTTAAGAAATCCCCTCACCTGATCCTCGGCATGGACCAAGGTCTTGGCGAAGCCTCGTAGCCGTACTTGGTTCATGTCGAAGTCGATCCGGCCTTTGACCTGGAGGTCTTCCAGTTGATTTTTCTCGCCGATTACTCAGACCTGCTCGCACTTGCGCTTGTCGTCGGGGCTGGTCGGATCGCCCTTGACGAAGGCTGTGACAACGGTCAAGCCCTTGCCGGCCTTGAGCTGCGAGGCCAAGTTGAGCAAGTTCAGATACCGTACATCGATGACTTCCTTCGACCAGGACATGGAGAGAAGGAGCAGGAGTTGGGGTCTGGAGAATTTTTATTTTTCTTTGATATTTTCTGAGTCGTTTCACAGAAAATGTTCCTAAAAAACTTTCAGAAGCTGCTGAAAGGCTTCTGGCAGGCATTTTTCATTTTTTACCTTCTGAACACCTTTCCAAGACCTTCTAAGTTCAACTCACCTTCCCAGGATTCGCCTGAGTTTATAGCTACTATGTTACTTTTCTTCCAGGATTTAAGAAGATGATACCTCCAGTTCTTGGGATGGGGCGCCTTGTCCTCGATCTTCATCAGCGAGTACTGAGCGGTCGTGAGGGCCAATCCACGGATTCCGTCGCCCCACTCTTTCTTGGCTCTGAAAGAAAGTCAAAACATTACATTAGCTGTTGATTTGATCAATAATCCTTACTACAGTTTTGTTAAAAATCCAGTTTTTTTGTTGAGGAAAATCATTTATTTTCTCAAAGACCCTGCCATGATCAGCTTCTGTACATATGTACAGGAAAAAATGAAACACTGTTGAAAAATTGGAAAAATTATAGAAACTTGGAATTTGAGCATACTTTTTTTCAGTAGAAGCCTTAAGGTACTGTTTAAAAATTTCAGAGATTTCAAAACTTCATCTTGTTAGCATCCATTTTGAATGATTTCTTTCTCAAAAGCTCATATTTTGGACTGAAACCAATATTTTGACAAAAAAATAATAATGAACAAACAGATCTCAATAAAAGTTATGTTGGGAACTGGAAGACATGCTTTGAAAAAGGTACTTTTCATATTCAGTCTTATGTTTTTCCCTACAAATATAACAATAATTGGCTTTTAAGTCATTTGTTGACTTTAATTAAGCTTTAAGGTTCAGAAAAGTAAATTCGAAAAAGTGAGCTACTTTTCCAGAACAAAACCAACCCCTTCCACTCGACGTATTTGTAGATGATCAGGCAGAGGAAGCAGGCAACCAGGGCGTAGTCCCAGTGAGTCGAGAACATGATGAAAAAGCAGAGGACTGCGCCAAGAAGGGACAAGAACCTAATGACTTATGGGTTCAGAAGACGTCATGGATTATCTACCAATGATAATATTTGAAGCGAGGCCGCCAGTTGGGGGCTCCGAGGAGTGAGTGAAGGGCGCAGATGAGGTTGACGAAGGCGTAGCACATGAGGAAGAAGAAGTCGACGACGGCCGCGATCGTGTCCATGTTGCCCATCAGAATCGCCAGCTCGGCGATCAACGTCGTCAAAACGAGGCTGAATCCATTCTTATTGCGCCTTTCAGAATCTGGATTGGCCGGTTAAAATAATTTTTTTCGATGGGAAGTTTCCGAAAGTTTTCTCAGAAAATCTTTTGATGCAGGTCCAGAATTTCCAAGGTGCGCAAATTTCTATTTTTTGAGAAATGAGGACTCAAAGTCTGTAAAGGTCTTGTTTAACGGATTTTGACAGGTACGGCTTTCAGAGCTGATTTCTTCAAAAATAGAAAATTATGAAGGTTGCGTTCACCAAACAAGTTGAGAAGTATACTGGTCGATTTCCAGGAAACTATAAAAATATGAAAATAACGCTTCAAAACCTTCACGGACCTCGGTAAAGCCATTCGGACGCGCCCTGGACGTTTCTGAGCATTTCTAGTGACCACTTTAGGCTTTTTTTTAAATAGGAAGTTAGCGAGGTTGTTATCACTAGAGAGCTCTGAAATTTCCTAGAACCGTCCGATTTTCGAGATAGAGCTTCGACGAAAATTCAATAAATTCTTTCTGATACGGATCTGTGGAACATACCCAAGGAATGGCTCATTTTTCGCGGTGACTTTCTTGAATGGCGTCAGGATGGGGATGACCTGAAACTGATTGTTTTTCCAGCATCCTTGCCAATCTGCGAACATTTTCGTCCTTTACAAGGTGAGTACACTCTTGAGGATGTTAATTATTCTTTTCAGCTTGTCAAATATTTTTTGTTGATCTTATTGAAGACTCCGAGCTCTGCTAGATTTTTCGCGGAGATCAACTACTGGCTCACTGAACGGAAACTCCTAGGCTTTGCAATTTTTTTTAAGGTCCTTCGAAAAGCAAACCTCATCCTTGGCGATAGCCTGGAGCAGCCTAGGGGCCGAGCACAAGCATTGGAGGGCCGCTCCGAAGGTCGACAAGAACGATCCGATGATCAAGACCCAAGGAGACGGCCAGGAAAGTAAGGCGACTATCATTTCGCTGTTCACCGACTGGCCATTCCTTCAAATTTTTGACATCTTGGAGGGATTCCGAAGAAAGACGTTACTTGTCCCGCAGAACGTAGCCATTGATCGCGCCGCCGAAAACGAAAGCCAAGGAGAAGTAGATGAACGACGTCGTCAAGTTGGCGGCGATGGTTCCTTTCGGGATCGAGGCCTGCGGATTTTTCAGGTCTCCACTCATATTGGCGCCGGTGAAGATTCCGGTCACGGCTGGGAAGTAGATGGCCAACAGGAGGAAGAACGACGTTTTCACGTCCTAAAATTTTTATTTTTGATTCTTGATTCTTGGTTAGCAATTTTAGTGAGAAGCGATAGTTGAGCGGTGGCTCTAAAAGATGCCAGAAAATTTCTAGTGTCTCTGGCGTCTCTTCGGACCGCCGTTGTTCTCTCGCATCCTATTTTTCAACCGTTTCATCAACTTTTTATTTATTTTTTTCTCGAGTACCTACTAATTAATTTTCCCTTCCTATACCTGGTACACATCCGTTTGTGTGTTAGCTGGAACTCCAATAGCCGCATGTTCCTTATCGACGTAGTTCGAGCCAAAGTTGTCTGAAAAGACACTATCAAAAAATATAATAGAAACTCAGGTAAAAGTTGGGAAGCATCTGCTTTTCCTTCTGCTTTTAAGCCTTCCAGAAGCCTTCCAGCAGGCAGGCTTCTGGCAGACGTTTTCTATTTTAACCTTCCGAACACCTTTCAAAGTCTTTCCCAAAACCTTCTAGCTTTCCTACACTTTCCAACCTCCTGCTCGTTACCTTCCCAAAACCTTCGCAGGATTCGCCTGACTAGGGAGAATGAACTTTGAAAGCGGAAAAAAAGAATTCATATCAAAATGTTTTGACCTTTACTAGAAAAATTATCGTAAAAACACAAAAAAAAAGAAAAAAACTTGTTGAAAAACCCCTATTGCTTCTAAACTTCAAGCTCGAAGTATAAAAAACTGATCATAATTATTCTCAAGATAAGCTTTGAAATCGCATTTTCTTGCACACTATCCAGGAAATGAAATTTCAGGCTTCAATCCTCAAAAAAATAAGGTAATTTCTGAGCTTTTAGGATTTTCAAATTCAAGGAGGATCCAGTCAACTTCGAGGAAAAATTATAGGGTCCCTAACAAAAATTTCTCTTTCGATTTTTTTCGTATAATCTTCGTTTTTAATTCCAATAAATAATTTTCTCGATTTTTTTATCCATGAATTCAGGTACAATCTTAAAAACTACGTAATTTTAAAGTTCGATACTTTCAGAATCTACAACATGAGGCACTCAACCAATTTTGAGTAAAATTTCAAGGATTCCTTGGGAATTGAAAATACCTCTTATCCTCATCAAATTCACAGGAAATTTTAGAAAAAAATTGTAAGCTTTTTTTAAGACTTGAAAAATAATCAATCAATTTTTATTGAAAAAAATTCAGTTCTCAAGTAAAAATAAAAACGCTTTTTTTCCGTATTTTTCGTTCTAACTCCCTTTTCCATGCTTCCTATTCCCCTTTAAAATTTCGATTTTTTTCTTTTTCCGAAAAAAATTACCAATCAAGAAGGATTCAGTCAACTTTGAGGGAAATTTTAAGGACTCTATCAAAATGTCTCTTTTTTTGATTTTTGTTCTAAAACCTTCTCTCAAACTTTATTTTCCTTTTTAAACTCAGATGTTTTTGTTTCTGACCGAGAAGCGTGTGTCCATCGAATCCAGGGAACCCGTTGATACAGCGGAACATGCTGTCTACCGGCTGATGTTCTCCCATGCATCCAGGGCCGAGTTTCGGGTCACAAAGCAGGTCGATCAACATGGTGTTACTGAAAATCCCTCTTATATTCTGAAGAATCCTTCTGAATATTACTTCATGCTGCAATAACTGCAAACTTTGCTCATTTCGACGTTTTCCGGGAGGAAAGCCTTCGACTGTAGTAACCTTTCTCCATAGAGACACACGCTGGAAATTAATTTTATTATCATTTTTTTCAAATCAGTTCTTTGAACTTTGTTTTTTCTGAATTTGCCATTTTTATTTTTTTCGAGTAAAAAAAAGTTTTTGAAGGTTCCTAAAAATCCAACTGTTTGAATAGGATAATTGTAAAGAATCAACTTATGAGAAAAAAAGTATGAATTGAAAAATTATGTGAGTTCTGACATCGCGGAGAAGAAGTGTTTTGGTATTATTAAGTGACCACGAGAGGAATACTTGATGGTTTTTTCTTCTTAGTGATCACCTAAAAGAGGGCCGATCAAAAGTCGAAAAAAATTCCAAAAATAAGTTTCAGTAGAGAAACATTTTAGGGTTTTTCCTGGAACAGTTCCTACTCCAGAAAGTTTGGGAATATTGAAAAAAATTAATGGAAAATGAAATTTTCTCGAAACTTTGCAAAAATAAACTTTTAGTGGTTTTCTGGAAGCGTTGTAACTATAAAAATATCCTAAAAAGCGGCAAAAAAATCTCTCTTTATTTTCCTTTTTTTATTTTTTTATTTTTTTCACTACATGGAATAAATCTCGAAACATCAAAAAAAGTTTGATAAAGATGATTTTTCAAGGTTTTTCCTGGCTCTGACCCGACTACAGAAAGTGAAAAAGAGCAAAAATTTAATTGAACGCTGGAACTTCTTGAAAAAGGCAAAAAATGAGCTTCTAGTTTTTTTCTTTTGGCGTTTTGAAGATCTAAAAATCTCAAGTTTGATTAGAATGATGGCAAAAATCCTTTTTTTATCCTTATTTTTCTTTTCCATGAAATATGTCGCAAAACTTCGAAGAAAAATTTCAGAACAAAAGGTTTTTTTGGAAACCTAAAAAAATAAAAAGCGGCGAAAAATCACTCTAACTTTACCTATTTAGATTGATTTCAGAGCTCCAATAATTTATTTTTTTCTCTTTCTTTCAATCAAATCAGAATAATCCCTGAATTTTTCGGTTTGGAGTTAAATAATGAGTCTGAAACGGATATAAAAACTAAAACTGACTATTGGCCAGCGCCAGGATTCAACGTCTTCTCGATGCCGCCAGCATAGCAAGCCAAAATCGAAGCGATAACGCAGAAAAGCGAGACCTAAATTTTGGATGCTTTCTACCTTTTTTTTTTCAATAATCTTGTCGTAACACACGTCCTTTAAGATTCACGATGAATTTCGAGTTTCTTTTTGAGATTTGAAATTATTATCACAGTTACTAGTCATAATGTGTGAAATTTTGGGCTAGTTATTGTGAGTCTCCGCCCCCTCAATGGGTTACGGTAAGACTCTTAGCGAAATTTTCCAAGTTTTTTCTTAGTTGAGGGATCAACCCCGAGCTTTTCGAAACATTGAAAAATGGTTAGAAGGATAGGGAAATCGGCTCGAAATGCCTTTTTTCGCTTGAAATCAGCGAGAGATTCTACAGAAAAATTTATGATTTTCCTAGGATCAGCTATAAACTATTCAAAAGATTTTTTGAATAAGGAATGAAAAAAAAAACCGACCGGCGCCAACATCTGCACGAACTTCACTCCCATGGCAACAATGGCGAATTCAATCAGCAGAAGAATTGTACCGTACAACCGTAAACTGTTCGTCATGCTCCCAGTTGGGCCTGAAAATCTTCTTTCCGCATTTTTTTTCTAAAAATTTTTCTACAGCTGCCTAAAAGATTTTTCCAAAACTCACTGGTATCATGGATTCCTTCCTTCCCGCCGAGCGTCAGCCAGGGGAACATGTACAGCTGGAAAAATATTTTCACACGCATTTAAAATGGAATTCGGGTTCGACCTGATAGTCGAGTAATGCTTAAAACTCATCAAATAATGACTTTTTCATGATAAAATTGATTAAGGAGGCTTTTTTTGATCTGAAATCTGGATCCATCAAAATTTCAACCAACTGAGAAAATTTTTAATAGCCACTTTAGAGGCTCGCCAAGGACTCCTTGGAGAGGACACTAAAGTGACCACTGAAACCACCTCTATAGTGGCCACTATTTTCCGTTTTAGTGGCCACTTCAGTAGTTTTTCACCCAGTATTCCTTCCAGTAACTCTGAAAATTTTAAAACAAACAGATTGGACGTTATATTGATCCCTTGACCCCTAGAGTGGCCACTAATTTTTAACCCATTAAGTGACCACTAAAACGTCAAAATCCTATAGTGGCCACTTGAAATTTTCTCAAAATGGTTAAAAAAATATTCCTTTTTGGTCACAAAAGTTTTTCATTTTCCAAACGAACCAAGAAGATTTCGACGCCTCCGACCAAGTACATGGAAGTGGCGACGGTGTTGGCCAGATAGAAGAGGATTCCGACGGCGGATCCGAACTCGGGACCCAGATTCCTGGATATCATGAAGTAGGCTCCGCCGCTTTCCACGACTCCATTCGTTGCGACGGCCGATATCGAGATACAGGTCAGGAACGTCTGAAATTCGCCTTTCTATTCCTGATAAGGGGAATTTTCGAGGTAAAAATTGTGAATCTGTTTCAAATTTATGTGCATAGGTAGTCCTAGATGTTTTTGTTTTTTGAGATTCCGAAAAAAAACCACCAGCTAATTTTTTTCAAAAATCGAAATGATGATCACTCTAAGACAGAAGGCAGAAGAAAAATATATAGAATATTTCACTAAGGAATTGATAAAAATGACCTTGAAAAAGACAGTTTTTTTCAAATTTTCTAGCTCAAAAATGTCTGCACAAAAGAGCCGAACTTCAAATTTAAAAAGAAAGTTCAAAAAAATTTCAAAAATTTAGGTTTCCAAAGGAAAATATTTTTCTACACTAAAGTTTCAAATATTGAGCTTTTTAACCCAAAAACTCCTAACAGTATGTTGTGCCCGCAGGTGGCCAGTGAAGACGTTGTAGTAGAAGATTTATTAGTAACAAGAAACTAGACTATGCTAGCCCCTTTACAATAACAAACAAGGGGTTATATAGTGCTGAGGGAAGAGATCCCGAAGATTATGGAATGTTCCGGAATAAAGGTGGAGTTTAGATAGTATTTAGATTAGAGTAAAAGATGGAACATTCCAGAGTTTTAGAGATCTGTCCCGGAAGCATTAGAACATTCGAGAACAATGTGGAACCTTCTAGAAAGGTAGAGAACAAATGAGAAGATTGTGGAACTTTCTAGAAGGGAAACCTTTACAGATGATCCCTATGACGTAATGAGACTAGAAATGTATAGAATACTATAGAAAGTTCTAGAATCAGCTTAATATAAGCGTTATGCTCCAACACCTCCCTCCTAAGATGATTGTTACATTTCAGAAAGAAAAAGAGAAATAATCATCTGATACATGTAAACTAACGTTTTAGGAATAGGGATTGATGTTTGACTTCAGGAGCGTGAAGATGACGTGTTGAGCGTCTTGGGCACGGCTTGAACAAAGTCGTAGTCGTCTGGTGGGCGACGTCTGCGGCGGCGTCGTCGTCTCAGCGATCGCAGTGTTCTTTTTGCACGTGTTGATCTTCTTTGCGCTGTTGAACCCGTGGCGTTGTCGGCATGTCTGCTTGCAGGTTTCACGTGGATGTCGACGCAAAGATGCTGCTCGATGTCTTCCGATGGAGTCGATGGAGTCGGCCGTGACAGCGTGGACCATGTTCGGCTTGACGTTGTTGAGCAGGTACGAGGCAGGCAGTTCCTTGGCGCAAAAGAACGGCAACGTGGCACTCGTTCGACCAGTTGAGCGACTGGTAGTTGAACCGGCTTGCAGCAGGAGAAGTGCGGCTCCTGTTGTCTTTTGCGGCAACGGCGTCGTCAATGATTGTTGAATCCGTCAACTTGATGAGCTGCGAACCATCGTAGTTGAGCGGTGGCGGCATCCTTTTGGAGTGACCCAACTCGGGGTCCAAGCGTTCGTCCTTGTCGAGCTGTCTGATGTACCAAGCGTCAGGCAGAAGCGAAGTGTTGCACATCGACAGGTGAGCGCGGAAGCTGTTGTGGTACCATGGAGCTTCCATTGAGTGGCGGTCTTCGTTGGTACTGCGGCCGTAGACGTTGTAGTCTGCATTCGAAGTAGCGCCTTGTGCTGAGATCTTGGAGTCAAAGATCTCGCTGATGCCAGGAACAGTCGACCCAACGTCTCGCAAACGGATGAATTCGTTGATGTAGTCGAACTGCTTGAGCTGTCCTCCGATCAGCTTGTTGAAGTCGTCCTCAGAAGATGAGCGCTGCTGCTGGTGCAACCACAGCGAGTCGTTGAAGTTGTTCGAAAAGTTGTGCACTTTCTTCTTCTTGACCACGACCTTGGGAGCTGCCCAATGCGAGTTGTTGACATTGTTGACGTCGTCTTCTTGATGGCGTACGTCTTTGTCGGTCTTCGCAAATTGAGTGACGATGTTGAATCGCTTCATTTGAACCGGTGACGCTTCAGGTTTCAGGATGAGATCAGCTTCAGAATTCGTGCAGCTCTCGAAACTTTCAGCGGCGACGGAGTCGAACTTCGACGGAAGTCGTGCGACGGCGTCTTCTTTGATCTTGTCCAGAGTCCAAACTGATATCGTCGTGATATCAGCGCCAGTTTTGGTCTCAGAAACTGAAGTCGTGCCAGGTTCTTCTTTGTCGACGAGGCTTTCCAGACGGCGTGGTCGTACGGCTTTTTGGACGGTGACTCGGGCCAACGTTGACGGTGGGAGGAAAGAAGCGGTGTTTCTTGCAATTTCTTCTTCGTCTTGTGGTCGTCGTTGAATTTCTCCTCTTGTTGCTTCACTTCAACGAGTTGTCGAAGAATTTCCAAGGTCCGATCATGAC